ATCCCTGCAGCCAGTTAACGAAAGTACGCGGGATAGACTTACCCTTCTCCCCCTCCAGTTGTTCGCCGCGACGCGGTCTGTCCACGGACTCCTTGTCCGGCGGAACGAGAGAAAGAAGATCCACATACTCACCCAGAATAATCTTTTCCTGCACCTCAGCAGGCACATGTAAACCTAAAGGGGCCAGCTCACACCCCGGGAGAAAGGAACCAACCCCCATCCCCTGACCCCTCAAACTATCCGTCCCAGCACCCTGAACCCCGAGACCACTGCCCCTGGCTTGACCCTCCACTAAAAGCCTCAGCAGGCGCAACACCTCACTATCCTGACCTGATCCCCCTGCTGAACCCCAGGCGCCAGCGCATGCCAACTCACCGAATGAGGGAAGGTGCAGGGGCTGCTCTTCATCAGCTTCACGCTCCTCCTCTGACTCCTCTGACTCACCGGAATCACCCTGGAGCCTCCCAGCTCCCAGGGGGGCTGTAACCGACACGGCCTCCCGACCGCCGGCATCCTGACAGCCCTGCAACCTCGGGGCTGCCGTCTGCTCCGCAGCACCCCGTGTACTGCTCGGACCTGGGGACTCCCACCGCCTTGGGGCTGCTGTCCGGGTCACAGCACCCCTATTTCCGGGTTCTTCAGCCGGCGCCGGCCATCCCTGAGCGCCCGGCCTCCTAATTTCAGCGCGGGCACCCACTTCCGGGTTTTGCCCGTCGCCGGCAAGTGATGTCATATCCGGGAGGGCTCCTCGACCTTCCCGCCATGCCGCCATCTTGGGAATGGCTGCCGGACGCCACCGCAGCCCTCACCTGGGACCGGACCGCTCGGGGGGGACACCTAAGGCTCGGCTCCACGTCCCCAGCCACTCCAGTCCGCCGGCGCCTTCGGCCCTCTCGCTCACCTCGCACCGGGCTGGGAGACAGCCGCGACGGCGGCCTTGAACGCCTGGCCCGCCGCCCTTCTTCCACAGGCCTCACCTCTTCACCCGGGACACCTTCCATGCCGGCCAACACCGCTGCCAACGAGCCTGCACCATGTGCAGCCCGGTAAGCCTGCAACAGGGCCACCAACGATTCCTGGGAAACATCCATCAGATAAGCAGGAATACAGGTAAGTGAAAAAACTGAATAATAATAGCTTTTTTTTTTTGTTTGTTTTTTTTTTTTTGGGGTCAGCAAAGAAGTACAGATGATGGACAGATGAAAGTCAGGATCCCTGCACTTCCAAAGCTGACTGGTAAGTCCCCTCCCCTAACTGTCCTTATAACTGTCTTCTATCTTAGCAACTATGTATCCATTTATACCCCTCCCTTCCCTTACTCCTTCAAGACTCCTTATCCTAGCCGCAGTCATGTCCCCCCTTCCTTGTCAGTCCAGGGAGGTGTCTATATCATGTTTGAGCTTGTGCTAAGCAAGTTAATCCTGGCTAGACAGTTGAGGGAGTTAAGTGTTTGGTGCATCTAATTCCCTGCGAGGAGCCGTGTAGTGCAGCGTGGGGGAGTGCAGGAGAACTGGCCTAGTGAACTGGTAATGCAAGGTGATTTACATGTGTGGTTGGTAAAGCTTGCTAGCTGGACATGAGATGACAATATCCTGCATGTAACGGTACTGCTGCCTGTGCAGGCGATTTGGAGACAAGTATACACTCAGTATGACTAAGCACCGGCTAAGCATGTATTCCTAGTGCTGTTAAATAGCAAACATATCGTGAGAGCGTAAAAGTAGTTAGAGGTAATCATACATTGCTTAGTTAGCTATTCCTCGCTGTCTAGATCACTAAAGCTGAATTTTGTCCAGAGTAGGAAATCTTAGCTGGTAAGATGAGTGTGAAAACATAATAATAAAAGGAAGGAACAAATCAGTACTTGCTTAGAATAATTGCTTGACTGCCTGTAACACATATAGAGCATGCATGTCATGGAGCCGTCCCCAATACTTAGGTATTATAGTGTGGGGAAGTCCACTTTGCCGCCCGGGGTCAGCCAATGCCCACAGTGGCGATCTGCTGGTGTGGTGTGGTGTGCTGTAATCTGTCAAGACAGGGACCTGAGCAGTGTCCTGAGAGTTATGTGTCAGCACCTCGCCCAAAGATCCTCTGGGCTGCTGCGGTAGATCGGCACATGGGGTGGAGAGGTGGAGGGTTATGGCTGCTCTGTCGCGTCTTGGGTACCTTGCCTGGGTTGTAGCGGATCTGTGAGGTGTTTTCCAGAGTGTCTGGTAAGCCTTTGCTTGGACCCTGCTGGGTGGCCTCTGCGTTGCCAGCTGGCAGAGCCCTCTGTGCTGCTTGCCTGTTGTAGCTGGTTGGGGCCGCACGTGCGGACGACCTTGTGGTCGGTGAGGTCTCCGCCGAGCCACCGTTCCAGTGTTTGCCCACTTCCGCTGTGTTGTGGGTGCGTCTGGGTGACACAGCTGGCTGTGAGGGGGCGAAGGTTGTGGAGCCGCCGGTTTAGCCGGTGCAGGAGCAGGGAGTCGACTCTACTCTTCCAGTCGCTCCCAGAATCGCCTGCATACGGCGTCAAATTTGGCCCGAAAGTTTGCTGCCCAGTCACTAGTGTTGTGTTGCTCCGGGTGAGCTGCACCGCTGTTGGCCATCTTGGTTAGGCCACATGCGTCCTGTTGGTTGGAGCCGCGCTCTCGAGCGACCCATGGATGAGTGCTCCCAGAAGGCAGGTGGACCAGGATGACCCCCGCCGGTCTATGGGGGGGGGCAAGGGCCCGTATAATCAGTGGCTGTTGGTTGTGGCGTTGGGAGAGCGGCCGTCCCTCCCGCGCGCGCCACGTGGGTAGGCTTCAGGCGCTTGTCGGGTGAGACGTTCTCGTATTGTCGCTTAAGGGGTGTCATTTCGCTTCTTTCGATGTCCCCTCATGTTTGCTGGCCTTTATGGCATTATCAGTCGCCGTTTAAGTTGTGTGAGACTGTTGGTTTTGAAGCGTGGTGCAGGCGCTCATGAGGCTAACGTCCTCTCAGCTCAGTGGTCAGGCCCCGCCCCCTCCCTGCTCTCTTTTGTTCCATTCTGCTTCTTTCTGTTCCATCCTGCTCCCTTACCTTTCTGCCATACCTTATGTCATATTCCGGCCTCGGTCTCATTAAGCTGCGCGCTGGGGAGCAGAGACGGCACAGCTCCCCCTGCGGCCGCCAGCACAGCTCCCCCTGCGGCCAACAGCACAGACAGCTGTCTGCCCTGCACCACCTCCTGGCCGGTCGCCTACAGGTAGCAATTGTGTCCAGTCCGTCAGCGTGAGTGTATGTGTGTGTGTCTCTTATGGTGTGTGTGCCTGTCTGTGTCATGGTGTGTGTGTGTCTGTGTCATGGTGTGTGTCTGTCAAGATGTGTGTGTGTCTGTGTCATGGTGTGTGTGTCTGTGTGTGTTTTAAAAATAGTGTTTTTACTCACCTTTTTTTTTCCCCACGCCATGCTGGTCTCCCCTCGACTGGACCTGCCTCTATGGCTGAGATCATCTAAGTTGATGATATCAGCCAATCCAATGCTTTGCCATAGGATTTGGCTGAAAAACGTTACATCAATCAGCATCTCCTCATAGAGATGCATTGAATCAATGTATCTCTATGGGGAACGTTCAGCGCCTCCAGAGTGTGGAGGCCCTAAATGTAGGTGCTGCACACCGTGCAGCACTGACACAGGAAGCACCTCTAGTGAGCACCTGAGTGTCTGTCACTAGAGGTGTCACTAGGAAGCAATGTAAACACTGACTTTTCTCTGAAAAGTCAGTGTTTACATTGAAAAGCCTGCATGGACAGGCTATAGACACCAGAACCACTACATTAAGCTGTGTGTGTGCGCCTGCTAGTGAGTGAGCTTGCTTGCATGTGTGTGTGTGCCTGCTAGTGAGTGAGCTTGTGTTTTTGTCAATGAGCTTATGTATATCACTGAGATTGTTTGTCTATGAGGCTGTGTATCAATGAGCTTGTGTGTGTCAGTGAGATTTTCTATGTCTGCATGTGAGTATGCTTACTGTATTACAAAGGACCAATATTAGAAAAAGCAATATATATATATATATATATATATATATATTACTCAATCATTTGGGGTGGCAAGACATTGCCTTACATATTACATGCGACAATATATGACTTATGGGGCCGGCATAGACTTTTTTTTTTCCAGGGCTGCTTTGTGTTACCAGTCCGGCCCTGGAGGAGGGGATGCGGCATGTTATGGAACCCCTCTATCTCAGAAGCAGAGGAGTCTGCAGGCCTCCATCTTTTGCGAACACCAGAAAGTTAAGAGCGGGGCAGCGAGCGGCTCTCTAATTCAGTGGGGTGAACTCACGCCCGTTAGTATGAATAACAAAACATTTACGCGTCCCAAGAAACTTTCTCTGACACATTATCCTGGTAAACACACAGGAAGATCCTGGTAAAACCGGGACGTCTGGTCAACCTGTCCAGCACCGATCTTCAGCTTCTGCTACCCCCCCCCCATTATTTCAGATAGCGCGGGGCTGCCGCTGATTCTCTGAGGATTGGAAGCTGACGCTCTCAGCCAATCAATGACTCCTAATTCACAAAACTGGGTTTCTTTTGAGGGCAGGTTTGTGAATGGGCAGTCACTGATGGCTGACCGCTCTCAGCAATCAGCAGCATCCCGGCCCGTTGGCACTCCGCACTTACTGAAACTTACATTTCAGATGCCGGAATCTATGGGGGAGTGGAGATTGGCACTGGAGGCAACTTTGGGGTTAAACCACTCGAGATGAAGTTAAGAGTGCGCTGGATGCCCCCTGGCACCGTAACTTCATTTAGATGAAGTTGTTATGGTCCCTGGAGTGTGGTTATACAACAATTTTTAGTGAGTTCATGACTTTCGCAAAGGCAATCATTTTACTAAGAAATAAATATTTAAAACAAAATGACAGCACTGTTATTGAGCCTGCAACTTCACAGACCCTGTCAGAGACATGCAAGCAAGCAAGCACTCAATGAGCAAAGCCCTGCACTGCTAAAGCCATAAAGCATGTGCTCTGATGCTATCAGTGTATGTCCCAGGCTCCTCTATGTGCTTGGAAATACTTCATCTCCCAGCATGCCAATCTGCCATTCCTTCGAGCGTCAGCGCTCTTGCAGGTAAACCCCGCCCCACGACACAAATCACTTCACCAGCCCAGGACGCCACGCCCAGCCAAGGCCCCGCCCACAGATCGCAAGGCACCTAGCTCATACCGTGGAGCCCCGCCCCCTGGTGAAGCCACGCCCATCACCGCAGGCCCGCCAGCCGCTCCCTGTCCTCGAGCTGTCAGAAGCCGAACCATGGCGCATCAGACCGGGATCCACGGTACAACCCGCTCTCTGTATCCTCTGTCCCTCCCCCCCGCCTGCCGGCCATAGCTAGCTCAACATAGAGATAGGGATAGATTGCTGAACTGCTCTGCCAATAGCTAGATCTCCATCTATAGCTCTCTATACACAGCGCTATCCGTCTATACACAGCTATCTATCTATATACACAGCTATCCCTCTACATACAGCGTTATCCCTCTATACACAGCTATCTATCTATATACACAGCTATCCCTCTACATACAGCGTTATCCCTCTATACACAGCTATCTATCTATATACACAGCTATCCCTCTACATACAGCGTTATCCCTCTATACACAGCTATCTATCTATATACACAGCTATCCCTCTACATACAGCGTTATCCCTCTATACACAGCTATCTATCTATATACACAGCTATCCCTCTACATACAGCGTTATCCCTCTATACACAGCTATCTATCTATATACACAGCTATCCCTCTACATACAGCGTTATCCCTCTATACACAGCTATCTATCTATATACACAGCTATCCCTCTACATACAGCGTTATCCCTCTATACACAGCTATCTATCTATACACAGCGCTATCCGTCTATAGACAGTGCCTATAGCTTTATACACAGCGCTATCTATCTATAGGCAGTGCTTATAGCTTTATACACAGCGCTATCCATCTATAGGCAGTGCCTATAGCTTTATACACAGCGCTATCCGTCTATAGACAGTGCCTATAGCTTTATACACAGCGCTATCCGTCTATAGACAGTGCCTATAGCTTTATACACAGCGCTATCCGTCTATAGACAGTGCCTATAGCTTCATACACTGCGCTATCCGTCTATAGACAGTGCCTATAGCTTCATACACTGCGCTATCCGTCTATAGACAGTGCCTATAGCTTTATACACTGCGCTATCCGTCTATAGACAGTGCCTATAGCTTTATACACAGCGCTATCCGTCTATAGACAGTGCCTATAGCTTCATACACAGCGCTATCCGTCTATAGACAGTGCCTATAGCTTTATACACAGCGCTATCCGTCTATAGGCAGTGCCTATAGCTTTATACACAGCGCTATCCGTCTATAGGCAGTGCCTATAGCTTCATACACAGCGCTATCCGTCTATAGGCAGTGCCTATAGCTTTATACACAGCGCTATCCGTCTATAGGCAGTGCCTATAGCTTCATACACAGCGCTATCCGTCTATAGGCAGTGCCTATAGCTTCATACACAGCGCTATCCGTCTATAGGCAGTGCCTATAGCTTTATACACAGCGCTATCCATCTATAGGCAGTGCCTATAGCTTTATACACAGCGCTATCCATCTATAGACAGTGCCTATAGCTTTATACACAGCGCTATCCATCTATAGGCAGTGCCTATAGCTTCATACACAGCGCTATCCATCTATAGGCAGTGCCTATAGCTTCATACACAGCGCTATCCATCTATAGGCAGTGCCTATAGCTTTATACATAGGCAGCCTATAGCTTCATACAGTATAGGCAGTGCTAGCTTTATACACAGCGCTGGCAGTGGCTATAGCTTCATCCGCTATCAGTATAGCGCTATCCGTATAGGCAGTGCCTATAGCTTCATACACAGCGCTATCCGTCTATAGGCAGTGCCTATAGCTTCATACACAGCGCTATCCGTCTATAGGCAGTGCCTATAGCTTCATACACAGCGCTATCCATCTATAGGCAGTGCCTATAGCTTTATACACAGCGCTATCCATCTATAGGCAGTGCCTATAGCTTTATACACAGCGCTATCCATCTATAGGCAGTGCCTATAGCTTTATACACAGCGCTATCCATCTATAGGCAGTGCCTATAGCTTCATACACAGCGCTATCCATCTATAGGCAGTGCCTATAGCTTTATACACAGCGCTATCCATCTATAGGCAGTGCCTATAGCTTTATACACAGCGCTATCCATCTATAGGCAGTGCCTATAGCTTTATACACAGCGCTATCCATCTATAGACAGTGCCTATAGCTTCATACACAGCGCTATCTATCTATAGACAGTGCCTATAGCTTTATAGAGCAGAGAATCCCTCTAATCTACTCCTCACTTTCACCACAAGACCACAGGATCCTCCATATACTTTTTTTTTTTTTTTCCCCTCTTCATCCGGAGGAAATGACGGAGATATGTCTGCCTTTTGTCAAGTTTTGTCAGATGTAGATAACATACTAATGCATAGTCCCCTTTTCTGTCTTAGTATATCTGTTGACTGTGTATACAGTCGATGTGAGTATTTCATAAATATTTTATCTTCATGAGATAATTTTGCAAGGGGAGGGGGTTACAGAGCAGTTTTAAATAGGTGCCATAGCTATTTTAGCATAGATTTATGGGAGGTCCTCCTGCCTGTACTGAAATATGTATTATATGTGTGTGTAACTATGTCGTACAGCTTCATATGTTTAAGTTATAACATGGTCTGACAGGATGCACAGTCTGATCAGTGTGCAGTGAGATTTTCTCTGTAAAGCAGCAAACTATTATAAATCGACCAGGGTAAATATCACATTTAGACCAAAATAACCTAGGTGGAAAGAAAATAATTAAGTCAGATTTTACATCCATTTTGTGCCGAAATTTAAAATTCTTTGATTCCATATTTAGTAAATACATGTAGGTATCCATTAAGTTTTTTTGCATTTGGTAGTTTTATGATGTGTGTATGTAGAGATGATAAACAAAGATGGATTATAGAGGAGCGGATACTCCTGTGATAGTGTGAGGTCAAACTGAGAGTAACCAATAGAGAATGATTATTGAGATTTGGTTCTGCATTGTAACAATGTACACAATGTGTAGGCCAAACTGGGGCAATTCTTTGAAGCGGTGATATGGTTGGATCGGCTTTTTCGTTTTTTGTGTTTACAATTGGTGATGTCTAGTTTAATAGTTTCAATAGTATTGTTTATTTTTTTTCTCGGAAAACATTGCCAACAATTCTTTTGCATGGTTTATTTACTTAAAGGGGTATGCCAGGCAATAATTGTCACTTGACTGCTTTGAAGTGGTCATGGTGCTTGGAGTGTGTATCTGCAGTATTTCACTATGTAACACCCCATTGTTTAACCCCCCTTCTACTGGAGGTTTAAGTCCACCTCCGGCCGTGTTATAATTCTGGTTGGCTAATGTGAATTCTGTGCATGTTTGGTGTCTACTATAAACACAAACAGCCTGCTTGTGCCAGACAACCCCTTTTGTGCTGCTCATATCCTCCATTTATTCCATCATCTTATAGATTGGTGCGATGTATAAGGGATGCTGATGTCAGGCTGACTTGTAAAACTGAGTACAACCTACGTTTGATACAGCATCTTACATATTTATCAGTGAAAAACCGTTCTTATTGGCAATGTTTTAGTCGATTGCTGCTATTCACAAAAATACACTTTTCTAAAACTGCTCATTTACTAATTTTAATTAAAGGGACACTATAGTCAGCAGAACAACTACAGCTTATTGAATTTTAGTGAGTAGAATCATTACCTTCAGGGCTTTTGCTGTAAACACGGTCTTTTCTGAGAAAATGCAGTGTTTACATTACAGCCTAGTGATCACTTCACTGGCCACTCATCAGATGGCTGTTAGAGATCCTTCCTGGGTCATGGCTGCCTAAAATGCATCCAAACATTCAGTATCTCCTCCCTCTGCATGCAGACACTGAACTTTCCTCACAGAGATTCATTGATTCAATTCATTTCTATGAGGAGATGCTGATTGGCCAGGGTTGTGTTTGAATTGTGCTGGCTCTGCCCCTGATCTTCATCTTTGTCAGTCTCAGCCAATCCTATGGGGAAGCACTGTGATTGGATCAGGCCACCACTTCTGATGATGTCAGCATGCAGATCTACAGCTTTTAGCTTGAATACAGTATGATTCTGCTATATTTATGGAGGCATGAGGGGCCCAGGGGGGCTAGATGGTGGTTTTAACACTATAAGGTCATGAATACATGTTTGTGTTCCTGATCCTTTAAATAACATAATTTTCATATAACTAAACTTTACAATGTGGTTCCATTTGTCACTGGTCTGAGCCTTTTTTCCTCCTCTTTTGTAACTTCCTCTCCACTGTTATAAGCACGCCTAAATCTGCATTTAATAGCTTCTGCATGCTGAGTCTTGAAACTTTCATGTGTCTTCAAATTTGCCATTAAACAGGAAAAACTGAGGTTCCACAGCCACACATATGGTGCATTTTTGGTAATATAAATAGAAATGCATGTTTAACCCTGCTGTCTAATCCACAACTGTACGTGGTACGTCTTTCTGGGAATATATATATATATATATATATTAATGTTTATCCCTGCAGGATATATTTATATAATGGTTATTAAAATGCAATATGTATCATTTTTAACACTTGATACAATGTCCAATCCTAGCTGCCGTCACGATTGATGGCTGTGTGATTCAGACATCGATCTAGGCCTCAGGGATGTACATTTGTACATGTACGAGAGTACAGCACTGAGCAATTTTTGCAAAAAGAGGTCGTGCTAGGCACACGTATTCCAAATGTTCTGTTTTTTTTCTATGCATTTTAATGTATCTTTTAAATGTCACTATTTAATTTGTTTTATATTGACAAATAACAGTGGTTAAAGGACACTATAAGCACCCAGACCACTTCAGCACATTGAAGTGGTATAAGTGCAGTATCCTTGTCTCCTGAACCCTACAATGGTAATTATTGCAGTTTCCTGAGAAACTCCAATAATTACTTTGCAGGCTTAAGACTGCGTCTAGTGGTTGTCAATGAGACATCCACTAGAGGCACTTCCAGGTGGTTAGGCGACTTTTGGTCACCTAACTGACGCTGGATATCGTCATGCTCTGCAAGAGGACATCCAGCGTTGGGCAATTCCCCATAGGAAAGCATTGCAGCAGGGAGCTATAGTGCTATAGTATCCTTTTAATATTGACAGCACAAATTAGTCTGCTTGGGCACCATGGGAAGTGTAGTCTGCAAAACACTGCAGTGCTTATCTTAGCTTTTACTGACATATGGCATATAACACAAACAAAACAAATGATTCTGCATGCAAAATGAACATATTTATTTCCAATCTGCTTCAACAGGTTTATCTGAGCAGCCAGCGATTCCCATGAAGACTTTGAAAACAACAAAACACCAGTATCTCAATTTGAGATTCCGACAAACAATACAGAGAGGTTCCCTTTCCTTATATAAAACTAGATGGATGGGCCTCTCTGTTTATCGTGGTTGTTATATCCACCTGATATAACTTTGTGATAAGACTGACAATGACTGCTTTAACAGCAGGTGATAATGGTATTTGTGTCCTGAGTGAGAGAAATGATTCTATATATTGTGAAATTGTCACCCAAACTTTCTCTGTAAAGTCTGTAAGGTATCGCTGAGATGCTTTATAGATGTTTGTAGAATTTAAGAGCCATTGCTTTTTTGGTCCTCCAAAGTGGTGCATCCATAAACCTCAAACTCAACAATGTTAAGGTGTAGAAGTGAAATTTTTAGGAGACATGTTCCCTTTGCTGGTGAATTTTGTGAATCCCCTGTTAAAATGACTTTCAATAGGATTTTCATGTAATAAAAAATGAATACCTGGGCTATGTTTTCTAAACAGCGACTTGTGAATAACAGACAAAAGTATTTGCAAAATAAATGCCACAAAATTAAATAAAATTCTCCAGCTCAGCTCGAAATGTATCATTCCTTGTATCATTTCTCCATAATTTCTAGTGTCTTGTAGTGTTTAAGTGGATCGGTCACTTTTGGGGGTCCTTGCATACTTTAAAAAAGACCCCTAAAATTGACATATTTTATGATGTTTTGGTAGGTGAAGAGGGGAAGTTACCTGAAGCTGTACCTCATAGCCTCCGTAGTCCTTGCTCTGCAAATTGTCTTCAGCTCCTGGTTTCGCCTGCCAGGAGCCATGTCAGTGCTATGCTCTCGTGCATGTGTAAGTGTACACCTCTGAGGTCTATGGAGGCCCACTGAAGACTCTATAGATTGATGTCTGAATCCCACAGCCATCAATTGTGATGGCTGTGGGATTCACGTTTTGTCCCTTATATGTCTCATGGTATTTTAGGATTGCCTTTGAATTTCAGTGTAATCCCAAACCAGTTAGGATCAGTATTTCATAGAGTTTGTATTTTTTGAAATACTGAAAAGTGAAAGGGCCACTCGAGCACCAAAACACCTTTAGCTTAATGAAGTGATTTTGGTGGGTGGATCATCCCCCTAAAGTTTCATTGCTCAATTTTCTGCCATTTAGAAAATAAAAGGACATTCCAGACCCTCTAAAGCTCTTTAGTTTGCTGAAAATCTTTGTGTGAAGAGTGTGTCCTCTTTTGTCATTTTACTAAAAGTGCAAATTTGATAAATTAACCTTGTTGCACCCCCTCCGGTCTGTCAATCAGACAACTGGTCCTGTAACATTCTGTTTTTTTAGCTCAGTGGGGATAAACGCATGAGGCAGACACTGCTGTAGAGAGCACCTGCCTAGCAATGACCGCTCATTGAGTTACATTGGGAAGTATGTGATTGGACAGCTACAGAAAGTCTGGCCTGTTTAAGAAAGGTAGGGCATGCAAAGCCTTCTGACAAAATCTTTTTACATATAACCCAAGGGGAAAAAAATCATAACTAAATGCTTGCATGTTGTCATTGGTAGCATATCTACTAAACTGTGATAAAAAATATATATATTTATTGATTGTTTTTTATTTATTTTTTTTTTCATTTGGGCAGTAGTGTATTTTTAAATCATTTTGTTTATGCAGTCCTAGTAACACCTCCCCTGGAACTGCAATGTTTAACATTGCAGCACTAGGTGCAAAAGCGACACTGCACCCAGACCACTTCAATGAGCTGAAGTGATCTGGGTGCCTACAGTGTCCCTTTAATTCAATGCATCTCTATGATGAGATGCTGATTTTCTTAAATTGGACAACATACAAGCTTTAACTTTAAACTGGATAACATACAAGCCAGTAGGTTTACTCTAACCTGCTGGAATAATGCTCTAAACGTTTCTGCAGCTCCCTGCAATTCAACAGGGTTACAAAGAAATTGATACAATAATGCTGTAGACTACTCGTAATAACAAAAGTATATACTGTACTAATACAGAAAAAGCTGATGTCAAGGTGTGTTTACCTTTTTACCATAATGGTCATAAAACCTAACAATGTTTGTACAGTGAGGTGAACTTGTTCAAATGTTTCTCCAGCTTCGTGTAAGAACCATGCTTTTAGTCTTTACTTCCGGAGACAGACAACAGGAAGTGAACAGTACAAATAAAAAATAGCCCACCCCATGTATGAAAAGACTTATGATTATCTGATTTTCTTACGTGTAAAGTATACCTTTATTTTAGCTGCATTTTTATTTAAGATTTGATTTTCATACCAATGCAATGATATTCCTAAAAATCATCAAACGTTCTTTGTATTTACAACAGTGTGGTAAATTGAACCTGCAAAGCTGAATTTGTCAGCTTGTTTGCAGCTTTTTCAATGCAGCAGCCCAGCCTTATTAGCAGTGTGTCACGAACATACCCAACCCCCCCCCTCCAGTTTGCTCTGATAGCATCACTCCCACTAGCCAGATCTGAGTGGGCTCAGATTTGATGTTTAGAAAGCTATTTTCAGTTCTCGGGAATCTGAAAAGTGACAGAGCTGCTTTGTAAACCTGCTGTGTCTAAACCAGTGACGATTAACCTTGGCACAGAACTGTTTCCCATGGTCCTCAGTCAGTAAAAACATTTCTGGGATACAAACGTTAGCCATCACTGGTCTAAATTCCCAGTATCCCATGCGAGTGCTTGTAAAATCTCGTTTGACCATCCAACAAGTGATATTTTTTTTGTGTCCCAACATTTTCCATATTCTTCATGTGGACATAAATCGGTTTACCTCCCATATATAAGTATAAGAAATCATTTAAATTTTCATGCTGATAGGCAATACATGAAGTGTTACTCTATTCTTATTATTATTATTTTCGCCATTTATATAGTGCCAACAAATTCCGTAGCGCTTTACAATATTATGAGTGGGGGATTTAACTATAAATAGGACAATTGCAAGAAAACTTACAGGAACGATAGGTTGAAGAGGGCTCTGCTCAAACGAGTTTACAGTCTATACGAGGTGGGGTGTAAAACACATTAGGAAAGGAAATGGCAATCAAATAAGGTGGGAGTGAAGCAGAGCTGGAGGAGAGAGTAAAGTGCTGCCCTTTAAGAGAGGGCAAGAGACCGGTATGTGAGATCTGTTGTATGTATAATACACATGTTGGCGAAGGAAAATCGAAAAAGTAGGCTAGGCCTTTCATTATTTTGATCTCTATTGTGAATGTTTTAATTGGTTTACCTCTTGTGCCTTATGTACAACAAGGCAGCACTTTTCATTTGCTCCCCATCACAATAAAAACATTATGTGATCAGGAGAAAATTATGGATCTGTCAAACTTTGGCTTATGGTGAATGGTTAGATTTGTTTATCGAGTGTGAAAAGTCCTATATGTTTTATTATGTAATGTGGACTTTTGTGACTTTTTAGTTAAAGGAATACTCCAGACACAAGCTGTATTGGTTATGGTAGACCAACACTACCATAAACCGGTGCTTCCAATTGTAAATTGTCAAGTAACAGCTTTACTTCTTACCTGGGGTCTGCCAGACGCAGCTCCAGCCTCATCTCCATTACAAGTAAAGCTGATTATGAGCTTCCATTAGCTTTCTTGAGTAAAGCTCAGCAGTTCAGGGCCAACTCATTGGCTAAGTGTCAACTGATTGCTTTCAGTCAATGAGCTAAGCTCAGTACCACTGGGCTTAGCTTAGGCAGAGACCTTCCATCTCTCCTGTAGGGTGCCCAGCAGACTTCAAGTAAGAAGTCAAACCTAAAATGGGAAAACATACGGACATTTGAGACACAACAATCACTACAGTGAATTTTAGTGGCTATGGTGCTTGAGGTGTTTATTAATTTGGGCTCCTCCTTTCATTAATAACTAGCCTTTATATCTCTGGTAAATGTGTGATCCTGCGGTATTGAAATATTTTATCCACTTCTTTGGAATAAGCAATTTATGAATGGCTTTTGACTTGACTTGGACACAATGTCCACAGAAACCTGACTTTAAAGGACCACTATAGTGCCAGGAAAACATACTCGTTTTCCTGGCACTATAGTGCCCTGAGGGTGCCCCCACCCTCAGGGACCCCCTCCCGCCCGGCTCTGGAAGGGGAAAGGGGTAAAAACTTACCTTTTTCCAGCGCTGGGCGGAGAGCTCTCCTCCTTCTCTCCTCCTCCGTTCCTCCTCCTGGGCTGAATGCGCACGCGCGGCAAGAGCTGCGCGCGCATTCAGCCCGTCGCATAGGAAAGCATTTGCAATGCTTTCCTATGGACGCTTGCGTGCTCTCACTGTGAAAATCACAGTGAGATGCACGCAAGCGCCTCTAGTGGCTGTCAATGAGACAGCCACTAGAGGATTAGGGGGAAGGCTTAACCCATTCATAAACATAGCAGTTTCTCGGAAACTGCTATGTTTATAAAAAAATGGGTTAACCCTAGAAGGACCTGGCACCCAGACCACTTCATTAAGCTGAAGTGGTCTGGGTGTCTAGAGTGGTCCTTTAAGCATTGTGCAGAGTTGAAAAAAGTGGTTAGTATTTTGTTACAATGTTTGATCTTTTTAGAATATTCCCACCGCTTCATCTGATCTACTAAGGCTTTTTGTTTGTCTTTTAAAAGCAGTCAGTAGTAGTGGGCAGCTGTGTGTTGTACCAACAGGTAATGTATTAAGGACTATTCATGAACACTGAATTGACCACGTTGAAAAATTTAGTTCAAGGTAACAGAGTTGGGAAACAACCAAAAACTTGTTTTTTGCCCTAAATGCTTACATTTTGCAATTCTGTGTTTCACGTTCAGTGTAGAAGTTATTTGTTGGTAACCATATAAATTTTTTAAATGTAGCTTCTACAGTGTAAGGAATACAAAGCTGTAATACAGTATAGATCCCTGAGGTTGCCTGAACCTACATTTAGTTCTGTCGAACAGACCCGTACCCCCTGTTCGGGAAACAAACACAACTTGTGTGGTCCCCCGCTTTATTGACTTAGAACACTGACCACCCCTGGCTGTTAACTGCAATTAAAGGATTAACTAGAGTGCTTTCCCTGGGTGGCTACCATTTTGTCTCCCGAACACAGGCAGCATGCATGGAACTCATTTCGGTTACACGTTCTTGCGAACCCCCGATTTAAGATGGTATTGCTGCCTGTATACTTTAGACGAACCACGTTCGGGAGATAGGATCTACCGACTGGGGGGAGTGTTCGCTACCTAAGAGCCAGGGGCATCGTTCGTTGGTGTTCGTACAGGAACTCCCGCACGAAGACTGGCCACTGCCCTGGATTCTCTGGAACTCTTTTGGGGGATCACCTCGTGGCTGGCTGTTAAAAACTTCTCTCGAATAGTAATCCCGTTCCACCAAACCAATCTAAGTGCTTGTCGGATATGTTGTGCGCTCATTGGGGGTATAAGAATTGTGGGGTTCCTGTAATGTTTTATGCGGCAAAGTATCCAATGATCTACTCGCTGCAAAATCACGTGGTCAATTCTCTATCCTAATTCTCCTTGACCTGTCTGCGGCTTTTGACACTGTTGATCATCAACAGCTTCTTTTTATCCTCCGCAATATCGGTCTACAAGATATTGCTCTCTCCTGGTGCTCCTCCTACCTCTCCTAGCGCTCTTTCAGTGTTTCTTTCTCTGGCTCTGCTTCTTCTCCCCAACTCCTCTCTTTTGGTGTCTCCCAAGGTTCAGTCCTTGGTCCCCTACTGTTCTCCATCTATATTGCCTCCCTTGGTAAACTCATTAGCTCCTTTGGCTTCCAGTATCATTTCTATGCAGATGACACGCAAATCTACCTGTCCTCTCCTGATCTCTCCCCGTCCCTCTTGACTAGTGTCTCTGACTGCCTCTCTGCTGTTTCTAACTGGATGGCTGCCCACTTCCTTAAACTAAACTTGACCAAAACTTAAATTCTGGTCTTTCCTCCCTCAAGTGTTGTTACTCCTGTGTCTGTCTCCCTCCAAGTCAACGGTGCTACCATCAGCTCCACCACGCAGGCTCGCTGCCTAGGTGTTCTCTTTGACTCCGACCTCTCCTTCAAGCCTCATGTTCAATCTATCGCCAAATCCTGTCATTTCCATCTCAAAAACATTGCGCACATCCGCCCCTACTTAACGCCAGATGCGACTAAGGTGTTGGTCCATTCCACTGTCCTTTCTCGCCTTGACTACTGTAATCCGCTTCTCAGTGGTCTTACGTGCTCCCAACTTGCGCCGTTACAGTCCATAATGAATGCGGCAGCGAGGCTCATCTTCCTGTCCACCCGCACCTCCCATCCCTTACCCTTCTGTCAGTTCCTACATTGGCTTACTATAAAATATAGAGCTCAATTTAAAATTCTGGTTCTTGCTTTCAAATCTCTACATAATGCTGCTCCCACCTATCTATCCTCCCTTATACACAAGTATGTCAGGTCTAGGCCCTTACGATCTGCTGAAGACTTACCTCTATCTTCTGACCGTACTCCCACCTCTGATGCTCGCCTTCAAGATTTCTTGAGGGCTGCACTGTTCCTGTGGAACTCGCTTCCCTCCTCCGTTAGATGCTCACCCAGTCTCCACTCCTTCATAAAATCGTTAAAAACCCACTTCTTCATAAAAGCATATCAATAGTCAATTAAAGTGACTATAGTCACCTGAACAACTTTAGCTTAATGAAGCACCTGCAGCCTCACTGCTCAATCCTCTGCCATTTAGGAGTTAAATCCCTTTGTTTATGAACCCTAGTCACACCTCCCTGCATGTGACTTGCACAGCCTTCCATAAACACTTCCTGTAAAAGCTTTCTTTATTGCAAGTTCTGTTTAATTGAGATTTTCTTATCCCCTGCTATGTTAATAGCTTGCTAGACCCTGCAAGAGCCTCCTGTATGTGATAAAAGTTCAATTTAGAGATTGAGATACAATTATTTAAGGTAAATTACATCTGTTTGAAAGTGAAACCAGTTTTTTTTTTTCATGCAGGCTCTGTCAATCATAGCCAGGGGAGGTATGGCTAGGGCTGCATAAACAGAAACAAAGTGATTTAACTCCTAAATGACAGTGAATTGAGCAGTGAAATTGCAGGGGAATGATCTATACACTAAAACTGCTTTATTTAGCTAAAGTAATTTAGGTGACTATAGTGTTCCTTTAAACTGTTAATAGCTCCTGACTGATTCCTCTTATGCAACTGTCACTAGTCTAATACTATCCTTACCTTTTTGTGTCATTTTACCCCACTCCCTCTAGCATGTAAGCTCATTGAGCAAGGCTCTCAACCCCTCTGTTCCTGTGCGTCCAACTTTTCTGGTTACAACTACATGTCTGTTCATCCACCCATTGTAAAGCGCTGCGGAATTTGGCACTATATAAATAACATAATAATAATTATTATTATTTTTGGGGTGTTTTGTGATATTTTCTGTATTCCTTGTAACTGAGCGATAATTGAGTTATCATATTTCCTAGCACAATTATCTCTCAGACCCAGAGACTCTTGGGGAAAACCCCTGTAAACTGCTGAAGAGATCCCATACTATGGGGTTGTGCATAAAAAGCTGTGTGTGGGCTAATAAAAATCAGTTGACTCCAAGAACTGTGTGCCGTCCAGTTACTAGGGGAATGGGTTATAACCACTGAACAGCGTTTTTCAGCTTCCAAGGATTCCAGCGGAGATCTTGTATCTTAGGATTGCAGCTCTGCTACTGATCCCTCTTCCCATCCCCCTCCTGCACAGAAGGGGTTAAAAAAAACCTTTTAACACAATTCTGACTCTGGGACTGTGCCCTGCCTCCTCCGTCAGGGGGTGGGGGGAGCGAATGCCGCAAGTCCATTAAGCCCACCCCTTAGGAAAGGATTGCTTTAATTCTTTTCTACAGGGATTTATGGAAGCTGGATGTCCTCATGCAGAGCGTGATGATGTCCAGCGTCAGGGGGTCAAAAATCGTCTTGCCACCAGGAAGTGCCTCTAGTTACTGTCTGACAGCCACTAAAGGCAGTCTTAGTCCTGCAATGTAATCATTGCAGTTTCTAAAAAACTGCAGTGATTTAATTTGCACCCAGACCACTTCAATAAGCTGAAGTGCTCTGGGTGACTATAGTGTCCATAATATATAGTAAACTGCATTCTACAATTTTTTAGACACTGCATTGTATAAGAGGAGTCTCTAACCGGGAAAAGCAGCGACAGTGTGAGAAACTCTTTTTGTTTGGGGACCTGATGAGCATGAAGTTTCTTCCCAACCACACGGACCCAGCTCTGCATCTTAAACCATATGTTAAGAACAATTGATTTAGTGAATACATGTATGGGTTTCTGATTTTACCAAAATTTTGCAATATTGCACCATCCTTGTTATGGAGTGTCCCACTTCTGTTCTGCAAGTTGCTGGCCTGAACCAGCTGTGGAAGTCACAGAAGGAACTTGAAGCTCTGTAACTGACCACATGACAATGTTACTTTTTGCAAGTCACTGTGTCACTAGTCTGGAAACTAAATTAGCCTGTAAGTCATCACAAAGGGAAGTGATCAGGAAAGAAGCTATGTTTAACATAAATATTACTTCTGATTCCTTAAAACATCTTGGGGATTGTAGTTGTAAAACAGCTGTCTCTCTCTATGGGGCATATTCCTTCTTGAGTGATTTTAAAGAAACACTCCGGGTACCACAACCTCTGCAACACCCTGCAGTGGTCATAGTGCCAGGAGTGTCCTGGTGGATCGACATTGTAAGTAGTCAAATCTGTTGCTAATGACTTGACTTCTTAGCTGGCGGCCTCTGACTGCCTGAGCTAAACCCAGCAATGCAGGTGCTAGCTTGTTGTCTGAAATGCTCAGCTAATGCTCTCAGCCAATGAGCTAGCCCTGCTGTGCAGTGATCTTCTAGCTCTCATTACAAGAAGTGGAGCGTCAGGGACTGGAGGTTAGTAAAATACTTACCTAGGGGCTTCCAGGGCACTTCCGACACCATAACCATTACAACATGCTGTGGTTATGGCGCTTAGAGTTCCTTTCATAAATGCCAGCCATATAGCTTAAAGGGACACTATTGGGTCTATAACCATTTTATCTGATTGAATTGGTTATAGTGTCTGCAGTCATCTTTCACTCTCCCTCTATTGCTAAACCATTTTTAAGGAATAAAAAATAATATACACAGGCCTCCACTGGAGGTAATACTAAGGCACAGACTACACACTTTCTAGTCATACTGATGCCGACCAATTGCTGCTCAGATTAAAACTTGCTTATTAGCCCAAGCAGCACAGAGGAAATGGGCTGCTAGGCACTTTTGTTTATCATTTATAATGGCTGAAACGAATACCATAGCGTTAACAATACAAACCTGTAGTCATAGGGCTATAGTGCCCCGTCCCTAGTTATATGCAGATCATCTCTCACCCCCCCATGTGCAATAAACATTAAAAAAAAAAAAATACGTTGTACTTAACTTTTCCCAGGCATGGCTTCTTCCAGGGATGGTCAAATCCAATGCTCTTTATATAGGAGAATTGAGGACCTGACTCGTTTTGACCTTGGGCACATCTAAGCTTCTCCATAAGAAAGCACTGTATTCAGTGCTTTCCTATGAGCTTCCGTATCACATGACTGAGTTTTACACGGCCAGAGCAGCAGAAGAGCCTCTAGTGGCTGTCAGGAAGATGGTTAAATCCACTAGAGCTGGATTTAACCATTCAATGTAAACATTGCAGTTTCTGCAAAGAAAAAAAAACCAGTGCAGTGTTTAAAGGACAGGACCACTACACCCATACCACTTCATTGAAATGAAGCGGTGTGTCTGACGTTTATATTTCTGCCTAGTAATACCTCTTGTGGCAGTCACTCAGAAGGCCACTTGAGATACATCTTAGTCTAGTGCATTACAACCTATGGGTACCTCCAGTGGCCACTCCTCAGAGGACCACTGGAGGTTCATTATGGGTCAGTGCAGCACTGACATCTCTGCATGGAGGTGCTGAATGTTCCCCATAGAGATGCAGTAATTCAGTTCATCTCTATGAGAAGATGCTAATTGGCACAGCGTAGTATTTTGCCAATCAAGCAGATGAGGAAAGCCTTCCAGTAAAAGGGATTTATTACATTTAAAACAATCAATAAATAAAAACAAATACTGAAGAATATCAGGGCAAAGCTTTCCTCCTTTTTAATTGCAAATATTTTACAATCTCATACAGTAGGTCTATTCTTCTTCTATAGCTTTTCCTGACTTTGGCTAGTCCTACTTTTAATTCAGTAATTTTATTAATCCATGGACACCTGTGCAAAATATCATGATTTCAATCTGAGGAGCGCAAGCATGGCTAGTGTGATTTTATGGGGATTTTGCGGTGGTCCTCAGAAACAGTACTCAGAGTATGAACATGGTACAGCAGGAGAGAATCTGAAATAAATTATTATTACTAATGGTATATGTAAATGCGACTTATAAAAAAACATAACAAGTCTGTAATCTTTCCAATACACGCATTTACTCAGCATGAAAAACCCTGTATGATCCTATTGGTCCTACTAATTAGTCACAAATTGACACCACAAATCAAATTTGGACATATTTCTCTCAACAGTTTACTTCTCTGTAACTCCATTTCCGAGGTCTAGTAAGGTTTGATATTTAAAACCATATTTAGCTATAGTTGTGCTCATTTTTCCTCTTCTTTGATCTCCTTATCTGTCACTGTCTCTCTGTAGAGAAGACAGATTTAAAGCCACCAGCCTTTCTGGTGTTATTTTGCAATGTGTCATGAACTACCAGCTGTGACTGTCAGGGTCACCTCTTATGAGCCACAGGCTATTTCTATTACCGTATATATTGTGTATCCTAGAGACTTAATGTGTTTTTGTGTCTCTGTCACAAGGTATTTGTAAAAACATTCACCAGGGAGGGGATGTACCTAGAAAGAGAGGGCCTTGGGTGCTATGATTGGACTTAAATCACCCGGCTTTATTCTAACACTCCATGCTGTACCATAGAGTTGCTCTGATGTAAGACCAGTGCCCTGTTTGTCATGGTATTAAATTTACATACTGCTACATGACTTCTTTGCTCCCCCCTCCCCTCCTTGCCAAAGCCTCAGCTATATTTGGGAGTTTTAGCTGACGGGATGGTGATCAAGTTTAGCATATGCCCTCATACATAATTCTCATTTTGAAGCTGATCTGCGGCAAGAGTTCTGCCTCTGCTCTTCAGAGTCTCAGTGAAGTGTTTGGTGTTTTTCGAATTGTATTTTCCTTTGATAGCCGACTCACCGGTATGTTCTTGGTTCTTATAGCTACACCGGAACTGAAAGATTTCTTTGCAAAGGCACGCAATGGATCTATACGGCTCATTAAAGTGGTCATTGAAGAAGGTGAGTTGTGACTGATGAGATTGTGGTTTTGTGTACAAAGGTCTAAAAACAGAATTAGAACATGGAATTATAGTTATTAACCATTGAAGAAGTGATATCTGCACTATGTATAAACGTGGTAGCTGCAGGAATATACGTTTCGTGAGGATTATTCGCTGAACCGGAAATTAAGGAGAATTGCAAGCGAAATGAAATTTTAAGGCCAAAGTTTTTTCCAATTTGACTTTTTTAGCATAAAATTTTAAATTTCCTTCTCAATTATCCATAATTCCTGGTGTGAATAAATCCTTGTGTGAACAGAAGTTCAAATATAGAGTTTAAATGTACAAAATGCAGTTTCATATATGTAATACATTTAAGTAAAAAAAGTTTATTCATATTTTTGTGAGATTCTATTCATGAAAAACCAACAGATGCCTTGGTACACTGAGGAATACAAGTTTGTCTCTTTTAGTCTTTTTCCCTTTGGGAAGGAGGCTAGTGAATTTATCAGAATTGTTACCTACTGGAACGGTTTTAAGATCCTCATTGCTAATATACTAATGCATTTAATCATTGCCTTGTTTTACATTGTTTCATTTAAAACAGACAGCCTTGCCAGATTTATTTTTAAAGTGTGCCACCAGATCTCCAAATGTAATATATAAGGGTTGGGAAAAGAATGATGTAATAAGTAAACTATTCTTTGGGATATTTTCCCTATATTGGGGATTGTCAGCATAATTCAGCTTGTATACCAAATATTGCCAAGTTAGAAAAAAATAATAATAATCAGAATTCACGTTTTATAAGACTATTTTGTCTAAAATCTGCTGTTCCTTCGTGAATTCTCTACCTAGTTTGTTAAATACACCCTACATGAGTAAATGTATTCATATACTGACTAGAAGATATTTGTTAAATCCTGTTTTCAGTAACCACCCTGTTTGGGGATGCGTTTTTTTATTTTTATTTTTCTATGCCAACATATTTAGTATTATTCCTGCTTTATCTCATTATTGTTCTTCCTGTTCAACTTGTTAACATTTCCATTGTTTTGATTAAAGCATTAGGCCTGCTGATTTAACAGATTCTCCTAAGCTCCCCCTATTGCTGCTTTTATGACAATGAGATTGTCACTTTTTTGTTTAAAAAAATAAAATAAAAAAAAAACAACAAATCTTTAATTTCAAAGAGACAAAAACCCTCTGTACCTTGAAGAAAGTATGTTTTAAAGAAAATAGTCTCACCTTCCAGTATGTCCAGTCTCTACATTTCAAAACTTATTTTACACCATTGGAATGTGTAAAAGTAGACAGAGAAGGCATATGCAGATGTGTCTGAGGGCTATCTGAGAGGGTAAATTTTGTTATTGGGGTAAATATTTTCTAGAAAGCCGAGCCAAAAGCCAGCTCATGGAAAATCTTTGTGAGACGGTCTGGAATGTGCCTGCTTAGAATAGCAAAGCGGGTGATAAACACATTGACCATTTCTACACAGGGAGACAGAGCATATCAGCTGCTCCTGGGAACAGACTCCATGAACAGTATTGCAAGGTCACTTGCACTATGTACCATTTCTTGCCCTCTTGACCTTAGAGATAGAAGAGATTTTCCTGATATTCTTCTTTGAGTATCTTGGCTTGTCTGTTCTTTTATCAAACATGTCCCCAAGAATAGAATTTAAGGACTTTCACCACCACAGTAAGCAAAATTCACCTGTGGTTTTTGAAACTCTGGCCTGTGGATGGGTCATGTAGACAGAAGTGAAATACAACACTTTAATCCCTTAAGGACCATTTAAAAAAATGTTTTATTGCCATTGTGCTGCCAATTTATCACTAACTCAGTTCAATGATAAAACCAGCTGAATTACAGAAAAAAAACTTTCTTCAGTTACTTGTTGCCGCAACTCCAGTACCACAGGGGATTTGAATATGTAACACAACGTGGACACTTACATGATTAAATGTATCCCAGATCCTAATATTGCTGCTGGATTAATCCCATATGTAGAAATCACCAAAGCCAGCCAAACCATTCTCGCTCATAAGGATCTCAGAATAATCCACAAGTTAGACCATGGAAGGTGCATACTTTATTGTAAATAAAATAGTTAACAACATTCCATAAATATATGGGAAGACCTCATAGGTAACAGGCACTCCAAAATCTTTAAACACATGTCAATTAATTCAGAGTCCAGTGTTTGCAAAATACAAAAAAATGCAATAAAAGGAAATACCTGCACCTGCCAAAGGGGGTGGGGGGTCATGGGACAAAAATATGAAAAAACTTACAGTAACTCTGGACTTGTTTTGCGCTTTTCTTGACGCTTTATCAACATTATTCAGCCGTGATTTAAAAGACCATTTTAGGAATTAAACCCTTTTTTGTATCAGTAATGTCCCCTACACAACTCTTGATCTACGCAGATTGATTAAAATTAAAAAACAGCAGATTTCTAATTGTTGCTACATACCTCTCCCATACTATTTCTGGACCTCACTAATATAATTTCCCTTTCTCTCTACTACCACCTATTAATTCCCCTGTATATTCAGACGCTAGCCACCATCCCTTCCTTTATTTTAATACTCTTTTCCATTTGCACTGCCTTCTAACCAATTTGTTTACGTGGTCATTTATTTCATTTGTGGATTCCCTTCCATTTTCCCCTTCAAACTTGCAGGATTATGCAATCGGCAGTTAGCTATCCTCATTGGGTACCCCAGGACACAGCTGCAATTGCCTGAGTGTGTGCCTCACTGTCAGCTGCTTCTATGACAGACCTAAGGTCCCAAAAACCTTACTGTGTTGGCTTTCACGTGTGCAAAGTTACAGCTGCCAACTTATAGGTTTATATATTTTGGGTGACGGTGCTATGTCTGTTTTATTTAGGTGTCTAGATGTGGCTATGTTGTCAGTATAATGATTTTCAGTTTTTTGCCTGCCTGCAGAACAGCTGATGTTAGGAGCTCATAAAGAACTCCGGCTAAACTGGGACCAAGATTATGATGCACTGGTGCTCCCGTTGCTAGATGAGACTGAGCCGTGTTATATCCTCTATCGCCTTGACAGCCAGAATGCCCAGGGATATGAATGGCTTTTCTTGTCATGGTCACCTGATAACTCCCCGGTAAGATGAATTGTTCCATTTCTATAACATTAAAATGATCCCCTATTTTTGAATAATGCCCAAAACCACAGCACTCTTGCACTGTAATAGTGATGGCTAAAACTGATATGACTGATGTTTCAGAATTCTAGTTTCAGAATTTCTGGTTTTTGCTGATTGAGCATTGTGAAACACCACCGCACTATACAAAACACTTTTATATTTGCCAAAGACTGTGGCCCATATTTATTATTATATTTTATTTCTGAAGTGCCACCACATTCCACAGTATTGTTTATGGCTACAAATAGTACAAGTAGACATACAAAGTTATAGTACACCTGAGACAATATAACATTTAACAAATGAATACAGGAAAAGTTGAAAGCGTTATTCCTGTGGGTACTTTTATATGGTACGAGGGGTGAGTAACACGAGGTGGGCCTGCAAAGGTGAGGAAGATGTTAATACAGAGTAAGATGAGGGCATTTATTGGTTAAGTGGGAATGCATTACTTGCCGGGTTGAGTGGTAGGCTTCCCTGAACAAGAATGTCTTTAGTGAGTGCTTAAAGGATGGCAAGCTAGGGGAATATCCAACAGAGCAGGGAAGTGCGTCCCAGGGGTTTGCTGCCGCACACGAAAAAATCCTGCAGTCTAACATGGGGAGAGGTTATAATCAAAGATACAAGTTGGAGGTCATTGTTTGATCTCAGGGGACGATGGGCTGGAGTATATTTGGGATTAGTGAAGACTTATGTGGGGAGCAGTATTAGTAGGGGAATTTTAGTGAGGACAACTAGTGGATAGCAACGTTAGAAAGGGCTTTATGTCAGTGTGAGAATTTTGAAATTGGTCCAGCTGTGCATGGGAAGCTAGTGAAACGTTTTACAGAGAGGTGCAGCAGGTATGGAACAATGGGTAAAGTGAATGAGCCTGGCAAAAGCATTCAGGCTAGACTGAAGAAGGGGGAAGCGGCATTGAAGAAGGCCAGTTAGTAGGTTATTTCAGTAGTCATGACAATACATTCAAAGGGATTGGATGAGTTGCTTAGTGGTGTCGGCGCTCAGAAAGAGACTCATTTTGGCTATATTGCGTAGATGGTTAAGAATTTTTTTTTGTGAACCCAAGAGAGAGCAGTGTGGCAGAGGCCAAAATAAAAGTCTGTAGGAGGAGAGGGAAATCAACTGTGTCGAAGGCAGCTGAGAGGTCAAGTAACATGAGAATAGATTAGTGGCCAGTGTTTTTAGCAGAAAGAAGGTTTGTAACCTTGGTGAGGGCAGTTTCAGTTGCGTGTTGGGGACAGAAGCCAGATTACAGAGGATCAAGCAGGGAGTTGGAGGTCAGGAAGTGAGTTAAGTAGTTGTCAACTAGTTTTTCCAGGAATTTAAATGTTAATGCAAGCAATTTTCAGAAATATTACCTGTGCCGCGCGCTACAACAGAAAGGCAGCGGGAGATTAGAGAGGTCAATGCGTGGCTGAAGTCTTGGTGCAGGAAAGAGGGTTTGGGGTTTTTAGAGCACTGGGATGATTTTGCGCTTGGGTACAATCTGTATAGTCGTGATGGATTGCACCTAAATGGAAGAGGGTCTGCTGTGCTGGGGGATACGATGGCTAGAAAGTTGGAGGAGATTTTAAACTGGTAGTAGTGGGGAGGGTCATAGCAATCTAGAAAATGGAGATAGGATATGTGCTTTATCTCCGTATAAGGGGGGTGGAGATGGCGGGACGGGAAAGCTCAAAACAGAGGAGGTATGTAATATTGATGAAAATTCACAAAAAGTACAAATGACTCATGATCATATTAAATGTATGTTTACTAATGCAAGGAGCCTATATTACAAAATGGGGGAACTAGAGACAATAGCATACACTAATAAACAGTATGATATAATAGGCATAACCGAAACATGATGGATTGAGACACATGACTGGGCAGTTAAAGGACCACTATAGGCACCTAGACCACTTCAGTGGTCTGGGTGCCAGGACCCTCCAGCTTTAACCCTGCTGCTGAAAACATGGCAGTTTCAGAGAAACTGCTATGTTTACACTGAAGGTTAATCCAGCTTCTAGTGGCTGTCTTGACAGCCACTAGAGGCCGCTTCCGCGATTCTCACTGTGAAAATCACAGTGAGAAGACGCTGGACGTCCATAGGAAAGCATTGAGTAATGCTCTCCTATGGGCTGGTTGAATGCGCGCGCGGCTTTTGCCATGCATGCGCATTTGACGATGACGTCAGCAGGAGGAGGGGAGTTCCCCAGCGCTGGGGAGCCTGGCGCTGGAGAAAGGTAGTGGCACTTGTTTTCCTGGCACTATAGTGGTCCTTTAACTTAAATGGATACACGTTATTTAGGAAGGATAGAAAAAACAAGAAGGGTGGTGGGGTATGTTTGTATGTTAACCATGAGTTAAAGTCAAATCTTAGGCATGTGGAGTGTGACGAGGAAAATGTGCAAGCTTTATGGGTAGATATCTGCTTGGAGCAAACAAAGGGAAATAAATTATTTGTTGGAATATGTTATAAACCACCTAATGTTAATATTATTATTAATAATATGAGGAAGAACAGCTGTTAGAGCAAATTGGGTAAGCTGCAAATTGGGGTAACACTTTAATTATTGGAGATTTTAATTACCTGGACATAAATTGGGATAGAGTGACTAGTATTTCAGCAAGGGTAATCAGGTTTTTGAATGTGTTAAATGACATCTTCATGTCACAACTGGTACAAACACCAACTAGAAAGGATGCTTGTCTGGATCTCATTATAACCAGCAATGTTGATCTTTTGACCAACATTCAAGTCAGGGAGCATTTGGGAAATAGTGATCACAATATGGTAATTTTTAAAATAAACTCAAAAAAGCGAAAAGCACATGGGGTATACTAAAACGTATAATTTTAAAACCGCAAAATTCAATAAGATAAGGGCAGCTTTACAACATATCGACTGGCATAAACTCCTTGATGAAAAAAACACTGAGGGTAAATGGAAACTATTCAAACAAATATTAGAAAAGTACATTTTTTACTATGTACCATTGGGTAATAAATATATAAAAAAAAAAAAAAAATTGAAACAAATGTGGCTTAGTAAAGAAATAAAACAAGAGATTGAAAATAAGAATAGGGCATTTAAAGCATTTAAATCGGACAAATCAGAGGCATCCTATATAAGATATAAGGAAGCAAATAATGCTTGCAAAAAGGCAATTAAAGTGGCTAAACTAGAAATTGATAGCCAAAGAATGCAAAACCAACCCCAAACATTTTTTTTTAAAGACTTCAATTCTAAAAAAAAATGAAAAATGAAAGTGTAGGTACACTGTAAACAGAGATCAGTCTGTTAGCTAATGAAGACAAGGAAAAGGCAGAAATTTTAAATAACTATTTTTTCTTCAGTATATATTAATGAGGATCCTATGGCAAGAGATATGCAAATGATTGCTGCAAAAAACTGGCAGATAACTTGTGATTGGATGATTCGAAACAAGGTGCTACAGCAGTTAAAGAAAATTCATATAGATAAAGCTCTGAGATCTGATGGTATTCACCCACGAGTACTTAAGGAGCTAAGTGGGGAAATAAGTGAACTTCTGTATTTAATTTTTCAAGATTCTTTTGTTTCAGGTATTGTACCAGAGGATTGGAGGAAGGCAGATGTCGTTCCTATATTTAAAAAGGGTTCAAAATCCTTGCCTGGAAATTATAGACCTGTGAGCTTAAACTTCTGTGACTGGGAAAATAGTTGAAGGGCTATTAAGGGATAATATTCAGGAATTCATTGGGAAGAACTTTGTTAGCAATAATCAGCATGGTTTTATGAAACATAGGTCATGTCAAACTAACCTAATTGCATTCTACAAAGAAGTAAGTAGAAGTATAGATCAGGGTGTTGCAGTGGATGTGATCTACTTGGATTTTGCCATTGCTTTTGATACGGTTCCTCACATTAGGTTAGTCTTCCAACTAAAAGAAATTGGTCTAGATGATAATTCTTGTTCTTGGGTAGAACATTGGCTTAAGGATACCTGTTCTAAAGAATATCATGGCACTATAAAAGTGCAGAGACGCGTTACAAAATTGATAAAAGGAATGGAGCATTTTAGTTAAGAAGAAAGGTTAAAATGTTTTAATTTCTTTAGTTTGGAAAAATGGCGCCTCAGAGGGGATATGATAACATTATACAAATATATTCGGGGCCAGTACAAACCATTACCTGGAAATCTATTCATAAACAGGGCTATACATAGGACACAAGGTCACGCATTTAGGCTGGAAGAAAGGAGATTTCATCTAAGGCAAAGAAAATGTTTTTTTAACAGAGCAATAAGGATATGGAATTCTCTGTCTGAAAAGGTGGTTTTGTCAAAGTCAATACAGATGTTTAGACTGCAATTGGATAAATACTTGCAATAACATACAGGGATATAATTTCTAATTAGTGGGGTAATAGCTGCTTGATCCAAGGAAACATCTGACTGCTATTTTGGTGTCAAGAAGGAATTTATTCCTAGTTTGTTGCAAAATTGGAAGCGCTTCAGACTAGGTTTTTTGCCTTCTTTTGGATCAACAGCAAAAACATATGTGAGGGAGGCTGAACTTGAGGGACGCAAGTCTCTTTTCAGCTATGTAACTATGTAAGCAGTAATATATGGGGTAGTTTGTAGGAGAATTAGGGTCAAAGGAGGGTTCCTTGATCATGGGAGTGACATTTGCATGTTTGAAAGAGGGTGGGACCAAACCAGTAGAATGGGATAGGTTGAAGATGTGTGGGTGAAAGACAGAGAAGGCATTAGATGTTGAGGGATAGGGTCAAGCAGACTTCTTTCTTGAAGCACAAAGTAAAGAACAAACTACATCCTCTCTGGCTGGGGGGAAGAAGCAGAGAGTTGCAGTGGGGATGATTGGAGGTGGAACATTGCAAGCTAGTGTTGTTTCGGATAGTGTTTTTTTTTTTTTTTTCTCTTAATGCTCTGCAAGGTCTTGAGCAATTATGTTTGATATGAGATACAGTCAGGTTTTCTTGAGTTAAATGTTTTTAGATGTGTTCATTTAGCCTTCCAACTTTTCAGTGGTGCGCAATTGCATAAGTCCTTTAGCATGCTCCATTGTGCCTTTTAACCTTGGTAGTGACTGCTACACTATGAATTCAGCAATTTTTGAAACATAATCTTCTCTGGCTAAATCAGTACTTTTATTCAAGTGCTTGTTTGGTTTGTATCTTTCTCAGTTTATCTTCCCTTTTAGAAAAGTTTAGATTTATTTTTGTCTGCAAAATGCGGACAAAGTAGAATGAGGATTGGAAGTGAGCCCACAAGCTTCATAGAAACAGGCTTTATTCACTAAATTGAGAAGTGACAATGGAGCCTGCAAAATTTAGAGTAGAATATGTGAGCTTAAAGTGAAAAAATTACCTTACCTGAAATTGCTTCCATATACATTGAATACACCATACAGTGAGGGAAAAAAAGTATTTGCTCCCCTGCTGATTTTGAACGCTTGCCCACTGACAAAGAAATGATCAGTCTATATTTTTAATGGTAGGTGTATTTTAACAGTGAGAGACAGAAAAACAAAAAACAGAAAAACGCATGTCAAAAAAGTTATGAATTGATATGCATGTCAATGAGTGAAATAATTTTTTGACCCCTTCGACTTAGTACTTGGTGGCAAAACCCTTGTTGGCAATCACAGAGGTCAGACATTTATTGTAGTTGGCCACCAGCTTTGCACACATCTCAGGAGGGATTTTGTCCAACTCTTTTTTGGAGATCCTCTCCAAGTCATTAAGCTTTTGAGGCTTACATGTGGCAACTCGAACCTTCAGCTCCCTCCAGAGATTATCTAAGGGATTAAGGTCTGGAGAATGGCTAGGCCACTCCAGGACCTTAACGTGCTTCTTCTTGAGCCACTCCTTTGTTGCCTTGGCTGTGTGTTTTGGGACATTGTCATGCTGGAATACCCATCCACGACCCATTTTCAATGCCCTAGCTGAGGAGAAAGAGATTCTCACCCAAGATTTGACGTTACATAGCCCCGTCCATCGTCCCTTTGATGCGGTGCAGTTGTCAGGTGCCCTTAGCAGAAAACCGCCCCTAATGCATAATGTTTCCACCTCTATGTTTGACGGTAAGGATGATTTTCTTGGGGTCATAGGAAGCATTTCTCCTCCAAACAAGGCGAGTTGAGTTGATGCCAAAGAGCTCGATTTCGGTCTCATTAGATCACAACACTTTCACCCAGTTCTCCTCTGAATCATTGGCAAACTTCAGACGGGCCTGTTCATGTGCTTTCTTGATTAGGGGGACCTTGCGGGTGCTGCAGGATTTTAGTCCTTCACAGCGTAGTGTGTTACCAGTTTTTTTTTTCTTGGTGACTATGGTCCCTGGTACCTTGAGATCATTAACAAGATCCTCCTGTGTAGTTCTGGGCTCATTTCTCACCGTTCTCATGATCATTGAAACTACACGAGGTGAGATCTTGCATGGAGCACCAGACCGAGGGAGACTGACAGTTATTTTGTGTTTCTTCCATTTGCGAATAATCTCACCAACTGTTGTCACCTTCTCACGAGCTGCTTGGCGATGGTCTTGTAGCCCATTCCAGCCTTGTGTAGGTCTACAATCTTGTCCCTGACATCCTTGGAAAGCTCTTGGTCTGGGCCATAGTGGAGAGTTTTGCAATCTAATTGATTGATTGCTTCTGTGAACAGGTGTCTTTTATACAGGTAACGAGCTGAGATTAGGAGCACTCCCTTTAAGAGAGTGCTCCTAATTTCATCTTGTTGCCTGTCTAGAGGCACCTGGGAGCCAGAAATCTTGCTAATTGGTTGGGGATGAAATATTTATTTTACTTATTGACATGCAAATCAATTCATAACTTTTTTGACAAGCATTTTTCTGGATTTTGTTGTTATTCTGTCTCTCACTGTTAAAATACACCTACCATTAAAATTATCTATGTGGGGGGTTAAAGGTGTTTAAAAAAACAAAACACTTCTTACCTTTAATGAAAAATGGTAACGTGCGGCAACACTTCACACAGCTTGCTCGCGGGAGGACAGGGGAGCTGCTTCACATACCCCTCCCGACACGGAAGCAGAGTAGGCGCCTGCCGTTTCGGGCAGACAGGTGCCTACTCTGCATTGATGGCGAACCTAAGGCCGCGTGCCGACAGAGAGGTTTGCCATCACTGACCTAGGCTGACAAAAAGACTTGCATCCATCAAGTTCAGCCTTTCTCATGTCTGTTTTTTCTGTTGATTCAATACATTGGAGGGGTTTATGATGAAGCAAACCTGCCATGACTGTTTCATTTTAAAGGGACACTATAGTCACCAGAACAACTACAGCTTATTGTATTCTTCTAGTTAGTATAATGATTCCCTTGAGGCTTTTTTTCCTATGGAAAATCATTGTGATTGGCTGAGAGAATCACTTCTGATGATGTCAGCCAAGCAGGCAGGTCAGAGGCAGAGCCAGCAGCAGACGACTGAACTAAAGGTTAGATTTTACTACATTTAGGGAGGGCCAGGGGATGCTAGATGGTGTTTGTAAACACTATAGGGTCAGGAATACATGTTTGTGACCCTATATGGTTCCTTTAAGTTCTAATTAGCCGGAAACAATTAAAGCAAAAGATGACGTGAATATTTTATTTGTGGTGGTATGGTCTAATAAATACCGGTAGGTGTGAAGTACTATCAAAGGGGTTTCTTCATTAGTGCAACAAAAACCTCTTTGTCATCAAATCTTTACCCTGTGACAGGAATTAAAATGATTATTTATAAAACCACATGTGCCACAGCTCTGCTCCGTGGATAAATAAATCTACATAAAATTTATGGCCACAGACATAACTGAGAACAATCTCTGCGGCATGTTGTTGGACTCATTCATTAGTAAAGGTTAGCTGTTGTAAAGGGAGAGTGTCTCCTTTGCCCAACGTGTATAAAATATTTTTAGCTCGGACCACAATTAATATGTATCCACAGGATGAGGGTTTTGTGTTACTACTTGCAGAATATAATGTTTTGTGCTTTCTGACAGGTGCGATTGAAGATGTTGTATGCAGCTACACGAGCAACTGTGAAAAAAGAGTTTGGGGGCGGGCACATTAAGGATGAAATCTTTGGAACGCTGAAGGTATGTCATTGAGTTTACTGTATTTGTTTGATTAGAAAAGAACAGTAAACTGCTTGAACAATCATGCAACCTATACCTCATTCGTGCCAATTATTTAATTTAAAGGTATATTAAGCAATGAGACAAACTCATCCTAAGGACTTATTCAATAAACAGTGAATTGTGGTGATATTTTAAAAAATAAAATGGAAAAAGTGAGACTCACAGCCCTAGCTGTGATTTAAAGGGACACTATAGTCAACAGAACAACTACAGCTTATTGAGTTTGTTGTGGTAAGTAGAATCATTCCCTTCAGGCTTTTTTTGCTGTAAACACTGTCTTTTCAGAGAAAATGCAGTGTTTACATTACAGCCTAGGGATACCTCCACTGGCCACTCTTCAGGTGGCTGCTAGAGGTGCTTCCTGCGGCAGTGCCACACTGCCATTTAGTGTCTCCACTCTCTGCATGGAGACACTAAACTTTCCTCATGCATTGATTCAGTACATCTTTATGAGGAGATGCTTATTTTTCAGGGCTCTGTTTAGATTGTGATGCCTCCTTGACAATATCACTCAATCCAATGCTTTTGTATACGAATGCATTGTAATTGGCTAAGATCACCACTTTTGATGATGTCCGTCAAGAAGGAAGATCATGGGCAGAGCTTGCAGCAGCAGACTGGAATAAAGTTAAGATTTTACCATATTTAGAGGAGCAGGAGTGGCAGAGGGGGTTAGATAGTTGTTTGTGTTCCTGACCCTATAGTGTTCCTTTAATGAATAAACGGAATACTACTAATAGTTTGGGGAAAAGGTGAGTATAGGTGAATACCAGAAAACATTTTTCCCATCCTTTCAATTTATGCTCTTCCCTCACTTCTTTTCCTTCTCTTCCTTCCCATTTTTCATTTTCTATTCCCTCCCCATTTAAAAATAGGTCTTTCCCCACCTGTCAATTCTTTGGAATAGACAATTGTGCTGAATAATTCTGTTCCTTGGGGGGCGGAGCTTACCAGCCGAGCAAGCCGGACGCTCATGGTGGGAGCTCCCGCATCGGAAGCCCTGATTCAGGGCTTTACGCCTGACCACCGGATCGTGCCGGCAGCGGACAACCACCCTCACATCCAGAAGAGAAGGCTGAGTCCGGAGACACCCGATTCAGGGCTCTCCGCCGCGGGAAAGCCCTCATCACAACTCGCGGCCTGCACAGGTGGGAGCCGTGGAGAGACGGCCGCTCTCCCGGTTCTCAGGCTGAAGAGGGGACACTCACACACCACTTCCCCCCCCCCCTTTGGACCGGTGGGGGATATCCCGGTCCCCACCAATACGAGCAACATCAAGTCAGGACAGCATAGCAGACGCCACTGTACTTCCAAGCAGAATGGAAGCAGAGGCGCCCAAGATGGCGGAGGAGCTCAGCCTCACTTCACGTGGCATGCTGCAGCCACAACACAGCAAAGACAAGCAAACAACAAAAGGGAGAAAGAGGGCGAACCATGGCACAAGCAACACCCTTGCCACTCCACCCAAACACACCCAGGAGTTCTTTGACCGACTCTGCTCCAGTTTATGGTCACAACTCCGGCATAAGGTTCGGCCCTTTAAAGAAGCAGTCCAAGTAATAGCATTATGGGTCCGACCAGCTACCAGGCGGCAACTTTCTATGTACCCACAGCGAGCCCCCAGGGCGGCCTCCAGAAGGGGACGAAGGCAGAGAGCAAAGCAACGAGTGGCGAACAAACGCCTGCACAGCCCCAGCAAAGCCTCACCTCACACAGACAAGATGGCAACCGAGCTCAAACGATGGCTCACAACCGGAATGGCACAGCCGCTGCACAGGAGATAACCCCTACACAGAAAGCCTCGAACAGCTCACAGACCTACACTGAAAGCCTGCCGACCTCTGGTATCGGGTAAATGGGGACACTAGCAACAAAATGGCAGTCTGATATGCCACTGTGTTCGGTCAAAGGACTAACTAGCACCCCTAGTACGGTTCATGCCAACCTACCAATATTGCGCACACAGGAACACCCAAATCGACGTTGTAGTCACTGTTATTGAACCTTGTTTATTGCATATTTTAAATGTGTACAATTGAAAAAGTTTGCATTGTGATGCGTTAGGTAATATAAGTTCTCTATCCTTCTGCTTACTCTAACTGAAATGTCTGAGCTTACAGGTATGTCTGTCGCTCTGCTGCTCTCTGGTGGATAAACTTAATTAAGCTTATAGAAATCAGTTATTAATAACGACCTTAACTCGTGTCTTAACGACAAAAAACAACTAACTATTTTGTTTTTCACAACGTTTGCCCAGCATGAATGCCGACTTAGATATGTTTAGCGACAGTTATCTTGATGCATTTTACTTAATCTCACGCTGACGACGCAACTGTTTAACCAAACTTGCTAAAATTTTAAAAAATGTGCAGACTCTCATGCCACTGTTATACCAATGTATGTTTTTCCAATACGCTGTTGTGGCGTCTGTTGATTCCTTGTACCTGGCAAAATGAGGTAAAAAAAACAACCACTTTTTCACTGTTATATATTGAATAGCAGTCGGTGTCGCTTAAAGCGGTGTGTTAAGCTAACAGTGGATGTTGGTGACCAGTGCCACCAATTAGATCTGGTGACACAAAGCTTGGATTTAAAAAAACAAAACACTTTTTTCACTGTTATAGATTGAATAGCAGTTAGTTATCTTTAAGCGGGTGTCAGGCCTACAGCCTGTGCTCTGCACAACTGTGCCAGTGCACATTGCCACTCATATCTGGTCTCACAGTAGCTTGCACGCATAGTACCACTAATCCCAACAAAAATGACAGGCAGAGGCAGGCCACCCCGCAGGGGCCATCGTGGTCGTGGTGCTGTGATTCCCTTTGGCCCTAGAATAATGCCAGTTTTCAGAGGCCACGTACCCTGAACTTGAAAAGTTCTGAGGACATAGTTGACTGGCTAACACAGGACACCCAATCTTCTACAGCCTCCGCTCAGAACCTTGACGCACCATCCTCCTCCAGCTTAGCTTCAGGCACCTCTCAGGATACCACTCACCCGCCTGCCGCCACCACCAAAACTAGCACCACAGCCGCTTCGGTTGGTATGTCAGAGGAGTTATTCACACATCCGTTTGAAGAAATGAGTGATGCGCAACCATTATTGCCAGAGGATGTAGATAACAGGGATATGTCTCAGGCGGGCAGCATTACACACATGGACGTACGGTGTGATGATGATGATGATGTTGTACCCGCTGCTGCTTCCTTTGCTGAGTTGTCAGATACAAGTGAAGCGGTTGATGATGACGATGCGTCCATGGATGTCACGTGG